ATATATATATATATATATATATATATATATATATCGAAAACTTTCGCTTCGTCCTCGTGAAATCTATAACAACTTTCGAAAGAGATGCTTTCGAGCGTTTTCTTGCAAACTATCGATATGCCTGGCGTAGCGTTTATTAAATTTCGTTAAAATCCCATCCCAAGTCATCACATACGGAATTATTTTGGTTCTGCATTTCACCTCTGACTCAAGCTTATCAACAAGTAGATTACGTTTTCGCTTTTTCTCGGTCTCGACTGTCGTCGTCCTGTCCTGACCAGTGATGCTAACTTCAATCAAGATTACTTCACGTCGCTTCTTATCGTGTATAATAATATCCGGTCGATCTGCTCTTACTCTGATTGCAGTTCTTACTCGCGTATCCACTTAGATCTCAACGTTTTCATTCGCGATGACCTCCTGAACAAAATAAATGACTTCGCAAGCGCGGGAATGCTTTCAGACCACACTTCTTGCAGAGTTCCAAATGGATGCATCGAAGGACCTCATTGCGTCTTCTAGTATAGATGTGATGTAAAATTTTTTTGCACTGCGTTGCTAGATGGTCCATCGTCTTTACACTTACAATGTTGGCACATACTTTTCTCAGCGCCAAATATATTTCTAAGTTACAGTATCATGCTTCATCTTGCGGGGTAATGTTTCCGTATCGTAGTCATACTGATGAATCAGCTATGGACGTGATTTTATTTGTCCGCATCTTAAATAGCTTTGAAATAATTGAATTCCAAATCGATTTTCGACATTAATTGCATCAAGCTGTCTTCGAGGAATGAAACAAATCCTATCATTTTTTTAAATAAACTGATAAATGAGATGATTACAAGTATTTTGCTATTTTGCGCAAATTTGCACAACCGAACTTTGAGGGTAGAATACAAAATTATTTTAAGGGTACTGCTCTATAAAAAAAAAAGGTTAGTTAGTACCTTTTAGGGTAAGACTGGTTTTGGCATGCCACGGAATACAGCTCTCAATGTGCAGTTTACTGACAAAGGCAAAAAATGGAGTATTGATCAACTTCGAGCTACTGATTCCACCATCAGATTGCAGTCTGGTACAAACAAATGTGATTCACAAGTGAGTTTCAGAACTAAAGTGACTTGCAGTGAATTGGTACTGTTACTAATGAAGTATAATTCATCTAAATGCTCCTCATCATTACCAAACTTGAAAAGAGTTAAAAATTTTTGTCTTTTAGTTTGAATTTACACCATTAGGGTTTCATTAAACATTTTGAAGCCTGAAAAAAATTATGTTTCCAGCGAGGAATGACAGGATTCGGGACACCACGAGACGTAAGAGGAAAACATTTGAAAAGACTATGGGAATTGGAGTTTCCGGAAGAAACGCTTGATGGAAATGCTGCTACGAATTCCGTGAACACCATACCGGAAGATTCTTTCAAGGAACCACCTACTGCACCACCAAAACCATACAACCCTCACAGTACAGTGAGTGATCAATGACCTATTGTCTAAATTAGCATGTTGCAAGTAAACTGCAGAAAATGCAGTGAAATGAGAGATGCAAACTGAATCTTTTTCTACTTTCTTGCAGATGTATTTTACGTAAAACTTTAATTGAAATTAAGCATCATCCTATTAATGAATAAATGATTAATAAATAAAAATGAACAGGTTACCACCGGTATCGTGTTTTTGTTTTAAAAAGTTGCACTGCTTATGCGCTTTTCAATGACTAATAGAACACTTGTCCCCTATCTGACCAATATGTAAAATTTATTATTACATGAAACTTACGCTTTATTGAATTAGTAATAAAACATAGCCATGATGACACTCATGAGAATTTCCACAAATTATTATTGATCGTTGATAAGTTTCCAGAACTGCTTTGATTTAATTATTCATCAGTTATTACTTATTGTAACAGTAACAGTAGTACTGAAAATTGCAAAAAGTGATTACATAGTCAGATAGGAATAGTGGGACGAGTCCCAAGAAACTGAAAGTTGAGTATTGGTAGAAGCATGAAGTTGAATCGAACTATTTAATAGTGCCTCATTACCATCAAACGCCAGCTTTGCTCAATGTGTGATTGTCAGTGCCATGACACTTAGAAATGAATGGGGAGTCATAATAACTTCTGGAACCATGTCAATTCTAACTAATGCTGAGAAGTAGCCAATTTCCCTTAGCTTATCAATTTACTCACCAAGAGAATTTCTAAAACCTGTCCGACTTGAAATACTTTAAGTAGAACCTTCTCACAAGAATCTGTGGTGTGTATCCATATATTAATTAAATGGTACATTACTGGTTAGAACAACCAAGAACACTCGGCAGCATGGTAGCAAAACATTGGAGATTGCCTCATGCTGGAATCGAACCAGCGACCTTCTGTTTACTAGACAGACGCTCTGCCCCTGAGCCAATGAGGCCTTGCAATTCCTTCCCCGAACATTAAATAGTAAATTTAAAGTTTAATTAATTTGGAAAAGATTATCGACTTTCATGCATTCTCTAGAGAGGGATTGAATTGAAAGCTGATTTAAATGATTGCTGATTGTTACATTCATTCCTGATAAAATAATGTTAATATAAATATGAATGGCTTAGAAGCCGACAAATCTGATCTTGTGTAAAGTGAACGAAGCAATCGATATGTATAATTCTGATCAGGTTGATTAGTGGCAAGCTGATGATTAGTAATGAAAGCAGGCGGGAAGAAGAAGACATCAATCAACAGATTATTAATTCTTCTGCAAGCTAATCGTAAACAAAGTAACTTTGAACTCTTGGAATGCAGCAAGTATCACTTGAATTAATCTCAGATTTCTTCGTTACATAGCATTCTTACTTTCCTTTCAATCGAAAATAGCTTTCATTCAATTCGCAAGAAGCCCTGAATGAACACGTAAGTTCAAGCACATTAGTTCCTTGATCAGTTTTGTTGCTGTGATTTGCAGGAACCTCTTTGATAAGCTAGTGAAATATCAAAAATCACTTCTGTGTTGTTTTTTATTTCACAATTTTTATCTGCGATCTTTTTTCTGAGTTGCATTTCATTTGATGATATCTCGTTGGCTTGGAAGAGGTTGTGCAAATAAATACTCATCAATCTTTAAAAAGTTCGAGATCTGCAGTAAAATTATTTTCTCGAGATTCATATCATACTGGGCTTTAACTTTTTGATTTTTTTGTTCATCATTCGAAAAATATTTGCACAGGCCATTTGCTAGTTAATCACTTGTTACTGTCTTTTCTGTAATTTTTGCAGTAAATTTGTCAAGTCGAGCATCAACTTTCTCGATGAATCCAAAATTCTTTGCATCCACTTTGTATTGTTTCAATCTTGTTGAAAGTGAAAGTATCTAAAGATCAGCATATTTTATCAATTTTAGTGCGCCAATAACTTTTTTCTCTCAAACAATCAAATGAATCAATCCATGTTTACGATAGAATGCGATCAAAAGATTGCTTGCTTAATACTTTTCATTCAATTGCAATCAGTTAGGAATTTGTTGCGAAGAACTAATTACTGAAAAATAACACTTATCATATAGTGAAGAAAAAAGCAAACATTCGCATGATTGCCTACTGTTGTTGATGCTGAAAACTGAAGGATTTTACTAAAAAATTTGACAGCTATCATTTTAATAGCTGTTTTCAGTGATAATTGGCAGAATCATTGCTTTCTCAGTAATGGTTATCGAGAGCGAAGTCAAGAAAAACGTTGAATTATTTGGTGGCAAAGCAAAGAATTTCAAGAAGAAATGGAGCAACAGTTGGGAAATACCAATGTATTTATTGTATCTTAAGTATTAAACAGTAGTGTAATAATGTGACTTTCATCCAAAAAATACTTCGTGAACTTTCGGATTTGTGCAGTTTACTGCATAGAATTTATTTCTTATTTGTAAACAAAGACGAGAGATTTATTTTTTATATTATGTATTGCAAATTTCTCTCCCTTGCTAAGTAAGCAAATAAAAGCAAATTTCTATTTAAGAAATGATTTACAGTGGAACAGAAGTAAATTTCGTTCGCATACGAAATGGGCGAGATCATTTTGAAGCAAATATTGACTTACAATACTTCACCGCTTTCCAACCGGAAGAAATTGATGTAAATTACTGATTCCGTCTGAGAGGCAAACAAAAATATTTAATTTTGATATACTAAATAAATAAGTTGAGCGCCGTTCATTCTTAAGTATGCTCAACGATTGATCACCTTCTTACTTCAGTTCATCCCATTAGTTTTCCATCAAGAAGTTAACTGTCATATCAGATTCATAAATTCTTGATCTATATGAATCTTCATTTTATCTATTATATCACTGAACTATTTATTTATCAGCATATACATAAACTTGTTAACTGCCTTTTTTTCTGTTCTTTTTCACATTTATTTTTCAGGAATTTTGATTATAGGTTTAATTTATGGCACAGTTGTTACTGATGCATTTTTGAAGGTGTCGGTTTACGGGCAAGACATTCAGATCTATGCAAATCGAGAAAATCCCAGCAATCCCAATTGTTCATCTAGACGGCTTTCACGACAATATCGACTACCCGATGATACTGATCTGAAATCAGTCAATATTTTGCGTGAAGAAGATAATTCTTCGAAAGTCGGTGTACTAGCAAAAAAGGTCATGATTTTTATAGACTTTTTTG